GATAGATAGATAGATAGATAATAGATAGATAGATACATAAATAGATACATACATACATAGATAGATTGATCGATCGATCAGCAGTGTGCCTATTGTGATATCTTGGGGTTTTGCTCAAGTGAAACATATAAAAGTGATGGCAAAAAAAAAGACTGAGTGGTCTATCGAGTCTGCCCATTTTTTATTTTTTGTGTTTGCTTTTCTGTGTTTTTTTTTTTTGCGGGGGGGGTTGTTTTGTCTTTTTTTTTGTTTTAATTTTTATTTACTTTTTGTCTGACTATAGATCTGTGCTTGTCCCAGGCATGTTTGAAGCTATTTACCATTGACAGGCTCTCTACATCTGCTGGAAGTTTATTCCCGGCATCAACTACTCTTTCAGTAAAATAATACTTTCTGAGATTACATTTGAACTTTCCTCCAGTTAGTTGGAGGTCCTTTCTCCGTGTTCTTTATTTTGATTTTGTGTTGAAAATCCTGCCCTCCTGAACCTTATTCACCCCCCTCCCCCCCTTGATGTATTTAAAGGTTTCAATCACGTCTCCCCTTTCCCTTCTTTCCTCCAGACTGGACATGTTAAGTTCCTGAAGTTGCTCTTGATATGTTTTATCCCCCAGACCTTTCACTAACTGAACTTAACCCCCCCGGTGGTATTCCCGAGTGTAGCTCAGGTTAAAGTTTCAGCACCACAAGCGGTAACCCCCCCGAGCTACACTCGGGAATACACTGCAGCGTTGCTCCGGGATCTCTTCTGCACTTACCTTGTCCTGCGCTCCCGCGATGTCCCCCCTGCAGTGTCCCCTGTAATGTCCTCTGGCCGATGCCGGCATCTGTTTTCTGGGTTCCGTTCCCTGCGAATTCCCAGACGTACGGGGAGGAGTGATTTCCTATTGCCCGGGGGCCCCATGAGTTTTCAGTCCTCCCCTGATGGTGACTTATTCTGGTCACAAGAGTACGGTGGTGTCAGCAAGGGTAAGGCTTTCAGAAGGAGGTCCAGATTGACAGGGAACCCGAAAATTACTAAGCAACCCTTAAGGGGGCAATGCTACATGAGAATCAACAGAAATGGACCCATTACTTATCTGAGGTGATGTGGAAACAGCCATCTAGTATGTTCCTTGAAAGGCTACTCCCTCTACCACAGTATGTTTGTATGTATTCTGTGGTCACTGTGTGCCCCTGAGAAGAACTTGAACACAACTCCCTGGTTTCCTGAACACACTCAGAAAGAAATTTTATTCGCTCCCCCCACCTCAGCAGTTCAGAGAGGTCACACCTGATGAGGTAGAGGTAACTGTAGCCAGGTGGGAGGCTCTCAGTGGTCATAACTGGTGTGTAGGCAGCCAGGCTAGAGCTCAAATAGACCCAGCTTCTCCAAAAGTGCCTTCTACTGTGGGGAGAACCTTCCTAAGTGTCACGTACCTGACTGGAGACTGAACTGACGAGGTCGGCCTCACTTGTGTCACTAGCCCTGACCCCACTGGAAGTGGAACAGAGGGAGTCTAGGGACCAGGGGGACAAGAGCGCCAGCAGATGTTGTTTGCAGCTCTTGCAACTGGAGACTTTGAAAGACTGATGAACCTCCGATTCAGGAACAGTAGTGATATGCAGAGCTGGTATGGTAGAACGCCAGGTGTGCACCAGAGCAAGGCCGGAAGCTGGGATGGGAGACAGGAGCAATGTCATAGGAATAGCTGGGGGCATCAACGGGCGGACAGCGAGGTACCAAATCATAAGCAAGCCAAAGTCAGGAGCAGAGCCGAAGCCGAAGACAAGTATCAAGCAGGAGAGTGATCAGAGTCAGGTCAGGAACAAGCCGGGTCAGCAACAAGGAAATCACACACAGGAACGAGCAGGAAACGGGGAACAGCTGAAGACCAGTCAGCACTCAGCACAGGCAGAGGCACCTTTTAAATAATCCATCTGGCGCCAATCTTCGCCGCACGCGCGTGTGCAATCACGCATTTCTGTGCGCACGTCTATTCGCCAGCCGTCTCATGGGAATTCCCTTCCACTAAGTACTTAAGCTCCAGTGAGGTGGCACTTCATCCTTGGGCTTGGGATCCTTCCATCTGCTTGCCTGTGTTACCAGATCTAACCTAGACTTCACTGAGAGGGACGATGTTTATACGGACAATCTCAGCTCTCTGGAGCACTCATAATCTGGTGCAGCTGTGCATGGTATCCAATCAGCTTCTGTCTTAGGCTGGTCATGCATTATACAATTTTCTTGAGATTTTTGGTTTGGATTTACCAAAAACCATATAATATGAGGTCAAACCGAACAACACTTTCAACTGTATCCAATTAGACAGGCTCTTGCACTACATAGTCAGTGGTGTATTGAGGTTTTATGCTGCCCTGGGCAGCATAAAAATCATCTGCCCCAACGGACACCGACTAACACCCCCCCCTTCGAAGAGATCCTGACACTGACCAACAATACCCCTGCCCCCCACTTGGGAGAGCCTTCCACTACCCCCCCCCATCCCTGGTGATAGAG